AAATTAAGACTGGCCGCCAGAACTGGCAGAAAACACCCCCTTAAAATTTCAGCTTTCTAGTTTTCCTGGCTTCTGAGTTAGCAACTTACTGGAAAAAAACCTTCACGGGCCCGCACACGGGTACCACGCATATCCGGTGTCTGGGTTGAGCTCGCTGAGACTTACATGGACGGGGAAAATCTTCTTAAAACTATATACTTTTAGCTTTTCAGGTTCTCGAGTTATGAACTTACCCGAGGAAAACTTTGGTGATCCCGTGCGTAGGTACCACGCATGACCGAGGGCTGGGTTTGAGCTCGTTGAGACTAATGTGAACGGGGAACATCCTCAAAATAATACAGTCCTCTAGCTTTTCAGGTTATCGAGTTATCAACTGACCCGAGAAAAATTTTGGCGGGCCCGTACGTGGGTACCACGTTTACCCGGCGGCTGGGTTTGAGCTCATTAGTACCTAATTGGATGAGGAACAACCCTTAAAATTTCAGCCCCCAAGCATTTCTGGTTCCCGAGTTAGCAGCTTGCCCGTAAAAAAACTTTGGCGGACTCTTACGTGGATACCACGCGGGTAAGACCGCCCATTTTGAGGATGTGGGCTCGACGTACATGTAGAATAAGTCCCCAAATTTTTAGCTCTGTAGCTTTTGTCGGTGTCGAGATGAAAAATCGGTACAGAGGTCCTGTGCGCGCACACACACACACGCACGCACACGCACACACACACACACACAACACACAAACACACACAAACATACACACAGACACAAACGCATACAAAAACACACACAGACAACCTCTCGTCAATATGCGTTTTCCACATTGCATAGCTGCAAAAAACGCATTAAAAAAAAGACTCTTCTGAGCAAAAGGAGGGAGGCGAACAGTGCACCACTTCATCATGAGAAAGCAAACGTTCAGAACTTGAAGTTGAGCTTTTCAGACACGGCTCGACATACTGCTGGAGCAATTCGGTATGTCCGCCGGACACAGCATGTGTACAAGCCAAGTGCTGCAGGACTGATCGTAAGTCAATTTCCAAAAATGCCAATTATTCAAGCATCTGTGTCTCTGGAAAGTTCGGCCTACACCTCCCCAGACATGCTCCATTCCTCAAAAAACCTTTTTACTGTTTTATACTACAGCGCGAGCCATTCAAAAACGTACCCTTTAAATTTATGCATATTTTTATTCAGCGGTTCTTCTAAATGATGCGATATTTTTTCATGATTTTTTTTCTTTTTTTTTTTTAATAATGTTGTGGATGTGCTGTGTGTCACTACTGCTCATTGGCTACTCAAAGATTAAGTCTATACATTTGTCAAAACTGAAAACCTCACCCATCCTACCTCTTACAAATATATATGAGCCTCACTGGCCCATTTCAGCAAACCAACCTTCAAGATGCTTCCCAATAAGCCTGCTAACCACACCAACAAGTAGTAGTTTTCCTTCAATCGACCATCAAAATATAGGAATGGAAATTTGTACTAAATGTATGATTGTGTAGTAGTAGCGTTGAGTGGTTCACATAAAAGTAAGCTTTATAATTTTGATTGCTGCGTTCGGCCGATGCGTCTTGATTCTGCTTGCACTCGGAACACCGACACAATAACAAACCAATGCTAATTTTTATTAGCTGAAAAAACAGCTTCTGCGGTTCGAAATTATTTTGACCTTTTTTTAATGGCAGACTGAAGAAAGGCAGCATCGTTTACATTCTGGAGAGGTGTAAAACCGGATGTGCCAATCGGCTCAGCAGCGAGTGCTTATAGTTTACACATCAAAGACATATCTTACAGTGCAGAATTAAATGATTCCGCGGAATTTTTTCGCTAGCTTTGCACTTTGAAGGCAATAATTTAGAATAATGAAATTTCGCAATTTTTTAAATACTTAAAAATTCGATATATGGTTAAAGAATTTTTTTAGTATCAGCATTGAATTAACTTCATTTTTCACATTATAGCTGTGGAAACGTCCATTTCCATTCAGTGTTTCAGTGCTTTCTTCGGGGCTACAAAATCTCGCAAAATCGTATAAAAAATGAATTGAGTTTAGAAGTACTGAATGGTGGTCACTGAAAGAGCAAAAGTGGAAAAAGAGGACCTAGATCTTGTCGAAATTGTGAAATAACATCAAAAGATAAAAAGCTGATTACAAACTGCAAAAAAACAGAAATTGAAGGCAAAAAAAAAGAAAACGAGGGCACTTTGGTTTTAGTTGGCAGGCAGCAAAATGTTCCCCTTTTTCAAAGATCTGGTTATGTTATAACCTCTGCAGCAAGGAACTGGAAAATTGGATAGGAAACGTCTTCATCAAGGACTCAAAACTTAGCGTCCTCAGATCAGTACGAGGAGTACCATCACTTCTCTAGCAACGTACTGACTCGTTTCATGAGTGCAATGCTTTATGTTTGTAAAAACTTTTGTGCTCCTCATAAGTTATTTGTTGTTGCCCGCACCGCACGGCACACGTTTTTTCAGCATTTAACAATATCCGTCGGTGTGCAACAAACACTTGGGAATGTGGTAGTGGCGAGTGTCTGCCGCCGGAATCACGTTGCGACGGGCTCCAGCAGTGCCAGGATGCTTCTGACGAAATACACTGTGGTTCGTGTTTGTTTCGTCTAGCTTTCATGTCTGTGAAAATGTCTTTGACTCACCCATCAAGTACCATCGAATGTTACTGCTTATCGGCTGGATTTTACTCGCTTTTTCCAAGCAAGCGAGATTTTGCTGAACCGCTAGTCACCGCATTTTCACAGCAGAGCACTGCTTAATGCATTTTCTAATCACTGCGTTCAAGCACACTTTTTGCGTGTTTTGCTGCAAGCTGAATTTATTTTATGACCATATGGTTAACATCCTGAAACGCATCCAATAGCTATAGTCAGTACAGTCGTTTTTACTGGGAAAGTATATCGTAGGTTATAGGAAAAGTTGACCATTTCCAGATTTCTTAAAGCGCTTTTATTGTACGTTAGTATTGGCTAGCTTCTTGGTATGTTGAGAACTCATATCCAAAAAGTTCTTCAAAAAAACAGCCATCAGTGTTGTAGTTAGTAGGTACCTTTGCTCATAAAAGCTCTATCATTTAATTTGCACCGAGGGCTTCCATTTTTTTGGAAGGAAAGAAGAGGTCGGGGTTTAGTTTATCTACATTCACTCAGATATCGTACTGTTTGGTTTTTGTTACGCATTTTTTTATTTTCGGGCTCAAAAGCAGTCTTAATATGAGTTAGTTACAGTAGAATGAAAGCTATATAGAGAGCAATAGTTTGGATAAGAGCCCTAAATTTGTGCCAAATTTTGTTTCGGATTGTCCATGAAATTATCTCCAACTACCTCCGAGGTCCGGGCAAACCTGCTCAAGAAATTTTTGTACTCTAGTTTGAAGACGAAGGTAAGTGAATTGTAATAATGACTTTGTCCGAAAAAGAATATGACAGCTAGTTATTGTCTCCCGTGCATTCTAGAAAGGCGGAAATACTTTCTGTTTTCAGCCTGGCATATGCCAGAGAGTCAAACCCACCACAAACTTACAAACAACCTTCAGAAGAGGGAGCCATTGACAGTATTTGCCAGCAAATGGTTGCTGTTGGCATTTGCTGTCACACGGCTACTTCTGCAGTGCTTTCATCACTTACAGAGAGCGGGATAAGGAGGAGGTTTGGACTTTCGATTTTTGGCATTAATATGACCAAATCAATAAACAAAGGGGCAACGATTCTTTACTAAAAGTGTTGCTTCTCAAGGCTGACTCATATTTTTGGCATCCTTTGGAAATTAAATAATTTAACGGTGTTTTGAGAAGTTGCACAAACTTACATAGATTGGTTGCTCTTTAACACCGGAACACACAAAATTCATAATTAACATTCATGAAAAATTTCGGCAAAATGTTAAACTCAGGAGGACTCAGTCACTGCATTCTCATAGCCACCGGTTCCAATCTTTTAGCACAAGCGGTGAAGTCAAGTCTGCTTTTTGGAGCTTTCTTTGTCTGGCAAACTATGCCGTCGCTCAACTTCTATGCATATTTGTGCGTAAAAATAACCTAACGTAATCAACAAAAAGAACGGATAGCGCAGGGTTAATGTCTCCTCATTCCAGATCCTTTGAACAAACATATAACCAACTTGGCTTCCACCCAAAAAGTAGAAATTTGAGTAAATGCCGAAAACGAAAGGAATGATTTGTAGCCAAGCAAGCAGTCGGCGGAATGCCATATCAGAAAGATGCTTCTCACGCCATTTTTGTACGTCCTCTATAGAATATATCCCTTTACCACCGTATTCGACAAATAAGCCCAGAATGTTTAAAGTAATCCAAACCTGGAATATATGTAAGTTTGGCCATAAAACTATTACAGTAGAAAGATGGTTCCATTTGAGTTTTTTTATAAATTATATCAGTGCATCCTTGATGGATCAAAAATTATATTTAAAGATTATGATATAAAGATTAAGGCAAAGATTTGAAACATTTGCTAAAAATATCGAAGATAGGCTGCTCGGACATCCGGTGTAGATTCCAATGTGAGCGAAAGGTGAGTGAATACTTTTTTATGCGTTTTTGCTCATACGCAAATGCAAAAAGCATATTGTGACGACCCAGGTGTATATATGTATATATATGTATATATATGTATACATATGTATATATATGTATATATGTGTATATATATATATGTATATGCATATATATACATATATATGTATGTATGCGTGTGTGCGTTTGTGCGTCTGTCCGGGTATTTCAACTCGACACCCAAGCATGTTCCGGCGCCAAAATTTTGCCAGTAGGTTCCTTGACCAAATGACTCGAGAAAACTCGGGTAATAGAAAAGCTGGGAGCCGTCCCAGGCCGATCCTCATGCACATCTAGGCTCCGCGTACGAGAGGGTGAAAGTTTTGGCGGGAAAATCGCTAACTCGGAAATCAGAATAGCTAGAAAGCTGAAATTTTGAGATTATGTTCCCCGTCCTCAAAGCACTCAAAGATTTCAAATTCAACCGGCAGGTGTACGTGGCCCCCGTGCGTGGCCATTGAGGCTTCCTGGCGTGAAAATCGCTAACTTGGGAGTCAAGAAAGCTGAGAGGTTGAAATTTTCAGGGAATGTTCCCAGCACATTTATAACCTAAAATTATCAAATTCAACCCACAGACATAGGTGGTTATCACGTATGGTCCCGTGAAATTCTTCGGCGGGAAAATGGCTAACTCGGAAGCAAGGGAAGTAAGGAGGCTGAAATTTTCAGGGAATGTTCCCAGCATATTTACAACGAAAATTTGTCAGATTCAGCCTTCAGGCGTTCGTAGTTCTCACGTACAGTCCCGTAAAATTTTTTGGCGAAACAATGGCTAACTCGGGAAATAAAAAAGCTGGGAGCTGAAATTTCAAGGGTATGTTCCCAGCCCGCGTAAGAATTAAAGATATCAAATTTAGCTCCCAGATACGTATGGTTCTCCTGTGCGAACCAATGAAATTTCTTAGCAGAAAAATTGCTCAAGAACCGGTGAAGTTGGAAAGCTGAAATTTTAGCGGAATATTCCCTCTCCAAGTATCGCGTAGATAATTAACTTCCCGAACTTCTAGCATATCACAAATCCTAGCTACTAAGTTCCGAGCGATCTCATTACAGCACGAAATACTGCAGAAACGCATGAACACACGGGCACGCCCGGTGCGCGTCGCCAATGATTATTATGCGTTTTTTGCAGTAATCCAATGCGAAAAACGCATATTGACGAGAGGTTGTCTGTGTGTGCGTGTGTGTGTGTGTCTCTGTGTGTGTGTCTGTGTGTGCGCTGCGCGTCTGTACCGATTTTTCATCTCGAGACCGGCAAAAG